GGTTGCATTGAGTTCCACATCGTTTATTTGTGAGTGCTCAGTGGTAGCATCGTGGTGGGTAGGAGAAGTTCTCATGTCCACTATGTGTTCTGCTTTTTCGAGTTGCTGCACATCTAGAGGTTTCACAGTCACATGGGGCAAGTTGCAATACTGGGCCTGCGGGTGAAACCATGCCTTCAGGATGAGCTGATTGCCCCTGTTGGGCTGGGAAAAGTTCCACCTCTTCAGCATACTCTGAAGTCTCAGCCGGGGCTTCCAGATGGCTTCCAGAAGGTCCGACCATCCCTGGAGATTCAGAAGACTCAGCTGCCCACTCCTGCTGGCTGGAAGAAGGCTCAGCCCCCAAGGAAGGCCTAGATCCTGAGAGGGACCTCCTTTCGAGGTAAAGATTCCATCTCTCTGATAGGCTCTGAAATTAAGTCCTCAGGCTTAACTCTAACACTGGTCAAGTAATAATGGTGCGCATGTGCCCAACCTGGAAGACGAAGTGTTATTTCATGAACTGGTAAAGTTATAGCTATGTTCTCCAGAGGAACTTTGAAGCTGAATTGGTTCCTCCCGCAGGGCTGGAGATTTCCTCTCCTCAGGGGGCTTGGCAGGCTGAGGTGGTGCATCCAGTGAGCTTGCAGAAGATCCGGCTTCCTCAGCAGACTCAGAAGTCTGAGCTGCCTGCTGCTACTCGCTGAGAGCAAGTTCAGCCACCACAGAAGTGTCTACCGCCTGAGCTGGGGTCTCTCACTGAGTTGAACGAAGCAGGTTCCGCCTCTTCAGAGAGCAGTGGAGGCTAAGCTGGGCCTCTTCGTAGAATGAAGGAGGCTCTACCTCCTCTGGAGGCTGGGCTGGGCCTGCTGCTGGTTGGGAGTGCAATGACCCTCCATCCCCTCCTCCGGAGTTACCATGACCTTCATATCCAAAGGCTTGATTGTGACCTTTGGCAAGTGTAAGCAATGAACTTCAAATACACTTGGAGATGGAGCACAGCCCTCCCAAAGCAGGAATAACTGAACTGCACCCTCTCAGGAGCAAGTTCAGGCTGAACTAGGGCCTCCTCCCAGGTTGAAAGGGTTCAACTGCCTCAGGGAGCTATGACAGTTGATCTGGGGCTTCTTACTGAAGGAAAAGAATTGGACTGCAGGGGTATCTGGATTCTGGATTTGGGTCTCCAGCTGGGATTGCTAAAGTTTGACTTGTTGAACGACTCTGGAGGCTCACCTGGGTTCTCTGGGGGTTCCAGCCTAACCTGCTGTGGCCAGCTGCACTTGAATCTACACAATCAGCCTGCGAGGTTTGCTTCTGAGCTTAGGTTTTGCAAATGAACAACTTTAGCAAATCACCAGTTGCTGAGCTAGATCCTTCTCCAGGTTCAGAAGTGAAACTAATCTCTGTGGCTTTTTAACTCTATCCGGAAGAACTTCACAGGACTCACAGTGGTCTGCGGCCAGGTCTAGACCAGCAGGAGTGGAGCAGCACAGCTAGAGCCGGGTTCTGATCCCAGTCCAGCACTGGCATCGCCTCTGGGAGCCTCTCTTGTCCGGAAGATGCAGACGCAGCAGACCTCACAGGGCTCTGAAGGCAGCTGACTCCCACTCCAAGAATGGAAACCGTCTCAGTCCCCACTGGGTCCATGCCAACACCTGGGAGGAAGCAGCGGACTCTTCCCCGAGTCTCCTAGTGGAGTGAGGGCATGGGGTGACAGGCGTGGGAGGTCAAATGTGGGCTTAGTCCCCATGGGGGCACGAGGTCCCCTAGACCAGATGTCAGGTCCACACCAGAAGTTGAGCCACCAAGACTGCTAGCCACAACTGTTGTCTTGTGAGGGTCACGGAGCCCAGAGGGGCCACAGGATCCTGACAGGTGGAGGTTAGTGATCTACTGGGGGGGGCAGCAGGGCACACCCAGGAGCCCAGCCTTTCTAGCAGCCACTTGCAAAGGGCCTCCACAAACGTACATGCTCCACCCGGTCCCACCCTTTATTTATGACAAACTAGTTTATGAAACCCGTGTTAGGACCCCCAGATGGGCTTGGTGAAGCGTGGCTGAGGCTTTTCCCACGGTGACCAGGCCCAGCCCCCTTCCCCCAGCAGAAGTGACAGCGGGCTCCCCCAGCAGGGGTCAGGGTGGTCCTGCCAACAGCCTGTGGAGTGCGCAGGGCAGCGCTTCCCAAGGAAGTCGAGGGGCTGGGCCTCCAGATCCTCAGAAGTGCTTGTCCATCTCCTGCAGGCTCAAGTCTCGCCTCTTGCCAGCCGAAGTCCCATAGATGCCTTCCTTCCCTTGGCCTCCTGGAGGAGCAGCTGAACCTGCAAAGTGAAGGCCAGTAAAGGCGGCAGGCAGGACAATACACATAATTTTGTGTGTGTGTTGACCTTCTGCACTGTTTATCTTCAGATCTTTAGTTGTGATTTTTCAAGAGGCTTCATTAAAAAATAAGTTAAACTTTTCATTCCCATGAAATGGAAAGCCATGCCGTGGCTCCCATTTGGTAATTTTGTTTTTTGCAGACTGTTGGCTCTTTCCCAAAGATCTGCTCTAGACAATTCTTTCTGTTCACTCACATCCCGGTCTCCCAGCTTCTACACCACAAGAGACAGAGAACAAACACATCGGCAGCAGGAAGCTGGGACCTAACAGCCCTTCCAGAGCTGCTGTTATTGCACACTTGGGAGCTGACCTTAGCGGTAGACTTCTGACCTTGTGGGATTCACAAGAGCAAAAGGCTTAAAGAAAGTAGTGGAGAACTACCCGGTCAAGGTGTTCCACCAGGCTGGAGCAGGGGCGAAAAGAGAGGTGGGTGGGTGTGGACGCGTCGACAATGAATGGGAGAAGAGGGAGAGAGCAGTGTGGAGAAGCGGATAAAAATGATCAGGCAGTGATACGTATATTACCGGTGCCCCAAGGTGGACGTAATCATGATGCATTGCAAGCATATACTCCTAAAAATTAATGGGAAGAATATTAAAGGACTTTCAGTGAAAAGTGGCAGCATGAGTGACCTGTTCATAGCTTCTCCATCTGAAGACCCCATTGAATGTCAGTAAAGGAATTACAGAGGTATAAACTCATGAGAACAACGAACACAGGGGAACAGATGATAAGAAAAACGCCAGTTAATTTTGGGAGATGGAAAGTGGGTGCATACGTAGAGTGATTGAGGGTTGAGAATTCTCCCATCCAACAACCACTCAGTGGAGGTGGGAGGCAACAGGAAGCCAATTTATGGTCCAGGAAATGGAGAGCGTCCTGACCAGCTGCTTCCTCTATGGTCAGGTATGCAGAAAAGGAATGAAACCAGAGGGAATCTAAGGATTTCCTCCCTAACCTCCTCCTGCAGCAAGGGGAGGTGAAAGCCTAGAACTGGAGGACATGGAGCTCCAAGGAGGCGAGAGAGGGAGGTTCTTTCTGACATTAGCAGGTACGAGGAAAGTCAGAACATCCGTTCGGTTCTTGGTCCTGGATACCTGGTTTATGTTTGCTCCTTTCCCAATAGGAAAGTCACTATCTCCAGTATGAAAAAACAATAAATAACTGGCCTGCCCTAGAGAAAAAAAGAACTCATGATACTGACACACTGGGGCCCCTTGATGAAACAGGGAAGTCATCAGGTAGGACCCCATTCAGAGGCCCATCATTGGGCCACAGGAACAAGCCCAGGCGTTAAGTACATGTCTGCTTTTCACTTCCTCATTTCAAAATACGAATAGACAAATATTTGATTTAAACCTCAAAAAATAAATTCAGAAATGAAAACACACAAAGGGGAAAATAATTTTGTAGAAATAAAGCCTGAACAGCATACAAGTAAAACATTAGCTGGACTTGGTGGTGCATGCCTTGGAAGGCTGAGGCAGGAGGATCACCGTGAGCTTGAGCCCAGCCTGAACTACCTAGCATGATCCTATCTCAAAAAACCAAAAAAAGTAAAAAATACTAAAATAAAGCATGTATAAGTAAAATGCATACAAAAAACATTCAAAGAGGAATAAATAGCTTTGGGGTATTAAAAGATACAACTGAGAGTTCAAATGATAGTTTGGAAGATTATAGAGAGAACCCATCCTCATCCAGAAAGTAGAATAAAGAAGGATAATGCATGAGACATATTAAGAGGAAAAGTAAAGATAAAATATCTAAAAAATAGGAGTTTTAGAAAGCAATACAATTTTTAAAAGAAAAAATTATTCAAGAAAACTTTCCAAAACCAAAGAAAATCAGCTTCATGAACCACGTTTCCCAGCTCAGTATGTGAGAAAAGTTCCATACCAAGTTCTATCATAATTTCAAGTCCCAAAGGCTTTTCAAAGAAAGATTTTAAGGGTATTATAAGGGCATCATCACACATCACAACAGCTACACTAGAAACTGGAAGATAAAAAATGCATTTCTTCAAAATGCTAATGTAAAGTGTGTCTTTCCAACCAAGAATTCCATAGCCAGCTAAATTATGTCTCAACTGTGAAAGATAGAATAAATATATTGTCAAATTCGCAACTTCTCAAAAATTTAAACTTTCAGATTCCCTTTCTCCGGAAAACGTTTAAAAACAGAGAGTTTTCCCCATCTGGATGTGAAGGCAACACAGAGAGAAAGAGAGAGGGTAATGTGAGTAAAAATGTTGAATTCTGATACCATCATCTGAGCCCTAAACTCATTACTTGGAGATGTGTGAGGATATTACCTGCCCTGGTCCCTTTGGTTCACCCAGAAAAACACAAATTCTATAATTTATCTCCCATTCTGCCTCTCCCATGAAGTTCTCTTGAATTATGACAACCAACATTAATATCCCTTTTATATGGCTTGGATCTTAAAGCCATGGGTCAAAGGCTTGTTCTACAGCTGACAGGACTATTAGGAGGCAGCAGAACCTTTAAGAGGTGGGACATAGTGGACGGAAGTTAGGTCATAGGGGGTGGGGCATAGTGGGAGGAAGTTAGGTCATAGGGGGTGGGGCACAGTGGATGGAAGTTAGGTCACAGGGGTGGGGCATAGTGGAAGCAAGTTAAGTCACTGGAGTCACACCTTTGAAAGAGACCCTGGGACCCTGGCTCCTTCTTCTACCTCTTTGTTTCCTGGCTGCCATGAGGTAAAAAAATTTCCTCTATCACACATTCCCTGCCATGATGTATGGCCTCACCACAGGCTCAAAGGCAAAAGGGCCAATTACTGTGACTGAAAACTCAGCAACTGTAAGCCAAAATAAAAGTTTCTCCTTGTAAGCTGCTTATCTCAGGTATTTTGTCACAGCAATAGAAAGCTAATACACCCTCTTGCCTATCAACAAATTGTTTCTGTGTATAGTATTTCTAAAGTCTTAGTGCTTTACAATATAGATTTTAAGTTTCTCTAGTATGTAAAGCCCGCCCTTCCCAATCGGTTAAAGCTGCTCTCAGAACAAGAGTTCTCCTAGTTTCACCTGGATTCATCTCTCCTGCAAGCCCATGTAGTTTCCCTTCTACCTTTTTCCTTCTCCACCTCTGTCACCTAGATTCCCACTGCTCTCCTTCAGTTCCCTTCCTCTACAGTCAGTCAAGGGCTACAGCCACACAAGGGCTGCAGAGAGCATTCTCTAGTGCTAATGTGACTGTGACCCTTTGTCTTGCTTCAAGCACTTTAATTGCTTTCTCAGTGCCAGCAGGATAAAATCCAACTTCCAAAACAAATCGTGCAAGATCCAGCCCCAGGCTACCTCCCACCTACATCCACCTGCAGGATTCAAGTCATTTCATACACCCATAGCTTTGCAAATGCTGCATCTCAACCTGACCTGTCCCACCCCACCTACACCCATCCAGCTGACAAGTTTCCTCCCACTGTTTTAGGTCTCACACAGATTAGGTCTCCCTGGGTTCACCACTCTCTCAGCCCCCCACCCCCACCCCATTTCCATTGTCTTCTTCCTCTTTGTTCCACCTTTCCTCCATCATGGCATCAACTTCGTGCTCTACAACCTCTTGTTGCATTAACATCTAATTTCTTTTCTTTCCACACTTGAGGCTCAGTCATTTGTGTCCCAAGATTGACATTGGGGTCTGCCCTTAGTAGGTAATGGGTATTTGGTGAAGAATTGATAAGTTCTGTTTTAGGATCTACTTCCTAGCACACTTGGGGCAAGAGACAAGAGCTATTTAGCAAAATAAATTGAAGCGTCCACAATATCCTGTGGGAGGTTTCTACTGGTTCAGTCTGCCCCACGTCCATTCTCCATGATTTTGGTACTGGTACTAGAATGAGGATTTTCTTTGAGAAAACAATCTCTCCTTTGGTCCCAGCCAGTCATGTAACGGAGCCAGCTCTTCGTAGCTCATAAGAACCCATTGCTAAATTATGAGGAACTTTCTGAGCCTCTTGACGTTATGCAGGCAGCTTGAAATCAACCATGGTGGGAATATTTGCTCATGAAAACTGGCAAATACTAAAAGGTTCCAAATCTCCCACCCCCAGAGCCAGTTGTGAAATATTTCGCAGCAGCTCACCCATGATGTCACCCCATGTGGTCTGACACCCATAGCCTCCCCCTAACACGGACAATTAGCTTAAGGCTGGCCACTCAGTATAGTCCAAGCTTCCCCAAGCCACAATGACAGGTTAGTAAAAAGGCACATTGTTACTGTGGACCAGCGACAGTCCCTCCCGGGACTAATTCAGAAACTTCTGAAGAAGGGGGTTCCTTGCACTGTCCCGACAGATAGCAAGTAATCCCAGAACTTCTGAGGTTGTTAGGTGGAGAAAACCCTTCAGAAAATGAAACAATGTGGAGGACAGTGAAGGAAAGAAAGAAGCAAAACTAAGTCTTCAGTTCATTACCTGAGCCCTGAATCCAGCAGTGAGTCAGGCTGGCTCTCACTTCTAGACCATTCCAGTTTTCTGAGTCAATAGAACATGTTTCTTACATATATGCCCATCTGTGTTGGGTTTTTTGGCACTGGGAAACTTGAAGGGACAGATTCTGCATGTCATAGTTTATGAGTATTTCCCGAGTTTCCTAGAGTGTGGGCGATTCCTGTTTGGGTGTGACCTTGCTCAGATCAACGGTCCTCCCCTGAAACTACCCCTAACCACACACCACTTCGCCCATAGCTGTCTGTACTCTGGGACTTACCCACCCTGGCCACAGATGACTCTCTTACTGTGCTGTTTGCAAATTACCCTGGGATTTAGTGGCGTTATAGGAAGCCACCATATGGACAGCACTTGAGACAGAAAGGCTACAACCCTTGCTACATCCCTAGTTCCCCAGGGGCCACTTTTCCCACTGCTGTTTATTTGATTTTATAAAAAACCCCAATAAAATATTTTACTAAGCTCTTCAGATCTACTTTCTGTTCACTCTGCATAACTCTTCCTTTCTCTAAGCATAACACATGAGCTGGTGGGATGTGAGACCATCTTAGGTAATATAAAGATGTTTCTGTTCTAATAATTAAGTATACATTTTAATACACCCTCCGGAAAACATATAATTAGCAAATCTAAAGGGACTTTTTGAATATCATTACTTCGGATGAAACTGAAACAGTTTTGTTTAACCTGTTAACTTCGAGAAAACATTCCATGAAGATGTCCATCAAGCTTCTTGGTTGCAGCAACAGAACCCAACTCTGGCTAACTGAGCGGAAATACAACTTAATGCCTAGAAATCAGGAAGTCCCCAAACTGGAAGGAAACTCCAAAGAACAAGGCTAGAACAATGGACAGAGACCAAGAGAAGCCACTCGGACGTCACTTCCAAAGGACAGGAGCGACCACCCACAGATACAATGACCCCTTTCTGCCACCGGGCTCATTACATGGACTCAGTGCCGCTGCCACAGAGAACTTGTGTGCATGGGTGTGTGTGTGTGTGTGTGTGTGTGTGTGTGTGTACTTGGGATTGAACACTCAGGGCTTTTATACTCAGCTACATCTGCAACCCTTTTAAATTTTTTGTTACTTTACTAAAGGGTCTCACATTAAGTTGCTAAATTGCATTCCTCCTGCCTCAGCATCCAACAGTGCTGGGATTACAAGCACGCATCACATATCTGGCTCACAAATCCCTCCTGAATGTAGTACCTCTGTGTTCCTCATGGTGCAAGGGCAGGGTAGGACGGGGTGCGGGGACCAAGACAAGATGCCATATCTATTCTTCAGAAAATGGAGAAAGGCTTCTCTGATCCCTGGCTGCCCCTGGGGAGTTTTACACATGCTACTACCTGTTCTGACCCCTTAAGTCCAGACTGCATCAGTCTGGAGAACAAGGAGCCTGAGCCCCGGGATCTCTTCTAGCTCCCCAGGAGATGCCACCGTGCAGCCAGCCCTGAGAATCACTGGACTAGATTTGCAGATTCCATGGTGGACAGTTTTGCTCAGAGCAGGAAAGTTGGCCTTATCAGAAACCCTTTTCTGCCTTCTGCATTGATTTCCTTGCTCTCTTTCTTATATGTCTACTGCTAATGCTGTTTTCAGCTCTTTCAATTACGCGATTTCCTTATCTTCATACTACTGAGAATACCTTATAGGATTCCTTCAGCAACAACTAAATTTATCTGCCTGTCATTTCGCTTTCATTATCCATGATGGCAATCTCGCACATAGCTTATGAGAACATATCAAGCAATTGGTTGTAAACAAACAAACAAAAAAGCAGGCCGTCAACATTCGTACCCAGGTTTGCAGGGTGCTTGTTGCTCTGGTGGTTTGTGCTTGATGCCCTTCCGTTCGGGTGCTCACTCTGGCCCACAAAGGCGTTTTTCCTGAATCTGCTCGTGTGTGTCTTTATCTCCTGTTTCCTCCTTATCACAATAGCGGTGTGCTGGCTTCTGGAGCGTGAGGCTGTGGCCCAAGTTTTGCTCTAATGAAAGCAGTGATTCTAAGAGCTTGCTAAAGGAATGGCACTGTGTGGTAATTGTCAAAAATTCTTCATTTTGAATGTGAATAGGCATCTGCTCATGGTGGTTGACAGTTGACAGCTTTTAGACGGAGGATGTAAAAATAACAAGAATTTGAACAACCTCTCGGTTTCAGATGAGCTTCCCAGTAAAGGAGGCCTGGATGCATGGATTTCCTGACAATATCGACTCAATACCTTTCCTGTTGTTGCAGTGAGAAAGGATACATAACATGAGGTCTACCCTACAACTTCTAACTGCACACTACGGGATAAACTGTAAGCACAGTGCTGTACAAAAGACTGCTAGAACTTTCCATCTTCCTTCACTGAACTTCCATACCTGTTGGACAGCTGCTCTCCACCTCCCTTTCCCCAGCCTCTACTCTTCTCCCTGCTTCTGTGCATTTGCCTATTTTAATAGAATCATGCAGTATTTATCATTCTGCATGTCTGGCTTGTTTCATCTACCAGAATAATCTCAAGTTTCCACCATGTTGTTGTGTATGACTGCAAGTCCTTCTTTTTAAGCCTGATGAATATTCCACTGTATGCATCTTCCATTTCTTTTTTGGGGGGTACCGGGGATCGAACTCGGGACCTTGCACTTGCAAGGCAGGCAGTGGAACCATGGAGCTAAATCCCCAGCCTCTTGCATGTTTTATTTATCCATTCAGTAAACACTTGGGTTGTTTCCACAGCTTAGACGTTGGAAATGATGCTACTATGAACATCACAGTGCAATATTCCTTCGGGATTCTGATTTCAGTTTCTTTGGCTAAATAATCAAAGGTGGAATTGCTGGATCGTATGATTGATAGTTCTATTTTTTAGGAAACTCCACGCTGTTTTCCATAGGAGTTGTATCATTTTACATTCCTACCAAAGGTGACAAGGGCTCTAATTCCTCCAAGGTCACATACTTGTTATTTTTCATTTGGGTTTTTGTAATGACCTCCTATCAGGTGTAAGGGTTTGGTTTGCACTTCTCTGACAATTAGCAGTGCCATTTGAACCACAGCAGTGACTCCCACTTGGCTACCTGTGTGTGACACTCATGTGTTTCTACTTCCAGAGAAACACACCTACAGAGTCAAAGCCTCAGCAGTTCCTCCAACCCAGACACTCTCCACCTTGGGCCCTGCTGGAGTTTGAGCCAAGGAAGTTTTTGCAGTAGGTATTGACCTGGCATTGAAGAATATTTAGCAACATCCCAGCATCTACCTACCGGATGCCGGTAGCACACACACCAGTTGTGACAACCACAACTGTCTCTAGACACCGCTGAACACTTGGAGAGTTCCCGTGCCTGGTCCACCCGGTCCCCCTTTCCCCAGCCCCCACTCAGACCAATCAGCATCTTCGGAACTAGAACCCGTGCACCTGCACTGTGGACACCGCTCAGGGACCTCATGGGGCAGCCACAGCTGAGAGCCTCTGTCCTGAAACCACAGCCTAAAACTGTGATAGAGCTTCTTAAGGTGTTTCTCAAATATTTGGGTGCTGGCCCCTCCACTTAGCGGCGTGAGCAACCGCAACAGCAACATAGAAATGATGTTGGTGGTTACATCAAGGACAGTCCGTGGAGTTTGCAGCCCGGGGTGGTCACGAGAAGGTGAGGGAGATGAACTACGTTGCATGTGGAAAATCACCTAGAAAGGCCTCCAAAAGGAACAAGCAAAAATGAGTGTTTTACCTGTAAAAGGGACATGAGCAAAATTAATGGGTGGGGGAACTTGAGAAGTGTGCCGGGGAGGGCGTCCCAAATCATCTGGAAGCCTGGGCAGACACCTTGGGAATGTTTTTTTTTTTTTTTTAAGTCCATGGTACATTTTTAAACATAAGGAGTTACAACAGTTGTGTTATACTTTTAGCATTTGCTTTTTTAAAAAATAAATATGTATTACAATTTGTGTACCATAAAATTCACCCTAAGTATATAATATAGAGGGGTTTTTGTGTATTTGTAGAGTTGTGCAACCATCCCTACTATCTTCAAAATGCTTTTATCACCCCCAAAAAGCCCATGTACTGATCCATGCTCACCTCCCCCCATCCCCATAACTCCCACCCTGACAACTGCCGGCCGATTTAGTGTCCCTATGGATTTGGCTCTTCAGAACATGCCATAGGAACAGAAGCCATGCTGTGTGTGTGTGTGTGTGTGTGTGTGCCGAGAGCATCCTGGAAATACCCGATTCAGCCCAAACTCTGATACTGTGGAGCTATTGAGCCAGTACCAGAACCTGCCCTCTCACAGGGCTTTTCGTGCAGAAAAGATAAACCCTTGATGTCTAAGTCACTGGCATCTGGTTTTTGTTACTTGAAGCATGGAGTATCTCTGAGGCAGAAAGTTCGACGAGCTCCGTGTACTAACTCAAGCATTTCTGCGCGTTGTTCTCACATCCAGTAACCGAGACCCTGGTGAACCCACATGCAGGACACAGCGCAGGTCTTCCCTCGGTCAAGGTGTCTTTCTTTCAGGTGTGCTGTCTTCCACAGCCTTCCCCACCGCCCTGACACCTGTTGCCACAAAGCACTCGCCTGAGGTCAGATCCGTGGGTCCTGATCTTGAACTGTCAGCCTCCAAAATTTTGAACTGAATAATCTCCATGATCTCCTTCTCTATAAAGTGCTCAGCCGGGGCTATTTTGGTACAGCAACATACAATGGACTACTGTAGCAACCTAAACCAACCAGAAACCCTTCCCTGGAATTCAAATATTGAAATGGAAAGTTATTGGAGTTCATTTCCTCCAGTGGGCTATTCCCATATTCATCCACGCACACATTCATTAACTTACTCCAAAAATATATTTTTGGGGTTCTTGATGTATGCCAGAATGAGGATATGGGATTAGAGAAAATCAAGAAACATATCCTAAGAGGGGGAGTCAGACAATAAACATTATTGATGACTTACATAACATCAGCTGATGATGCAGGCTATGAACGGGATATATTGGAAGAGGAAGGGGAAAGGGGGACTTCTCCCTTAGAAGATGGCCAGAGAAACGCCGTTAATGAAACTGCTTGGGCAAAGAAATTCTGACAAGATTGATCCAGGCAGAAGCCAGAACAAGTGCAAAGGCCCTGAGGTAGTAGTATGCTTAATCAAGAAGGCAGTCAGTGTGGCTGGAGCAGCAGGATAGTGGGGAAAAACGACGGCTAAAAACGTTGGAGAGGTGACGAGAGCCAGATCATCATTTACTAAGAGATGAGAAATCCTCAGAGGGACTGGCAGATGCGTCATAGGTTTCAATGCCCTCTCTCCAACCATTACAGGTTGGCAGAGAAAGGGCAGTGAGAAGGTGGTGATAATGATACTTCAGGTATGAAGTAACTGCTGTCTAGCGCCAGGGTTGTGACTGGGGGTCAGAGAAAGCGGTGAGAGTCCAAATACATTTAGAAGGTAGAGTGTGGCTGAGTGGAGACGAAGAGAAGTCTGATTTATTTCACAGAAACAGCTCCTTTTATAGGTTCACAGCAACAGGAAGCTTTTAAGGGCACACAACAACAAAAAACACCAAGTCATTGTTTTTCAAAGACCGGATTTCCTGACTCTTACTGATAACATCAGATCTTCAGCTAACGAGCTTCCTGTTATGTCAGGGTGAGTTCCTGACTCTTACAGATAACATCAGATCTTCGGCTAACGAGCTTCCTGTTATATCAGGGTCAAAGAGTCAAAACCAGTTTAACAAACACTTTCCTTGAAGAGTAGCAAATGTTGATGCCTTAATTATACAAGAAGAAGTTATTTTCCAAATGTCAAACTCCAGTGGGCCATGAATGGGCCCCGACAGTAGAGCTGACCAGATTTTTTGAAGAACTGGTTGTGGAGTAGGAGAGAAACAGAAGAGCCAAGAATCCTTCCAGTTGTCATCCTGAGGGACTGGGTAAAGGGAGTGCCGCTTGCCAAGGTGGGAAACTCCGAGAAGGGGCAGGTTTCTGGTAGTCACCGTGACAACCGGAAATTAAGATGGCGGCCATTCTTGCAGGCCCTGCTTTGTAACACTCTGGGGCTGCATCTCAGAAAGTGGCCCCTTGGCCTTCCTATGGATTCAGAGCTCCCAGTATCCTTCCAGAATGTTCTCTTTGGCTTTAATTAACCACAGTTACTTTCTGTGATTTGCAACCAAAGCCCCTTAACTGACAAAATGGGTAGAATTGGTTTTATGTATCAACACAGGGCACTAAAAACCATAGTTACCAGGAAAAAATATGTTCTCATAAGCAACAAATAATTCACAGGTGAACTTTTGGATGCCACCCATTTCTGCCTTGCAGGGTGACTATTCTCACATGGCATCTCTCCTCAGAGAGACAGCTTCTGCCAGTACAAGGTGGGGAAGTGTCAAATACTATTAAAACTTGATTGCTAATTCAAATGCTATTGTGCTTGATGTGCTTGTCATGTAAAAGTGCACAATGTAGCTTAATAAAATTGATAGAACTCCCTTTGAAGATATTTTTGTCACCGAAGCACTCGATGAAACTGTTTCCATAGGACTCTTCTGCCTCCTCGATGTTTGGTTAGTGACACACTTTTGTGAACTAGTCCAGGGCCAAGCAAAGCATGTTTTTGAAAAAACATGTTTTGTTCGGGGAGGAAAGAGGAGTGTTCAGACTTCCCTTTTTATTTTGTGTAAGTAGCAACCTCTTCCAACTGCCTAATGAGCCAGCTCGTGCGGGTCACTGAGAAACCAAATCAAAGCCATTTCACATGAGTTATGTGTGATCAAATAAACCCACAGAGATTACTATAACTAACTTGAAAAGAGCTAATTATAAATACCAAGTACAAACATTAATCTGTTTAAGAAAATGTCTCTATCCTTCTTGCTCAAGACCAACAAATGCTGTTCACGTTCACTAACATGACGGCAGAGCTGTACTTCTGTGTCTGGCTGTGGCCGTGATGGGCAGGAGGGGAAAGTGATTTCTCAGTAGTGACACTGACCAGCCTTAGAGTAATGCCGGCCTCAGTTAAACTCTGAGCGGTCTTGGGCAAATTAGATACTCTTGGAATGCAGGTCCTACATCTGTACAACAGTACCACACACTGCTTCTAAGAGTGTAAAATTCCCACCTTCTGCCTTGCAAGCACAGGACTCAAGTTCAATGCCTGATTCAAAAAAAAAAAAAAAAACGTAGAATTCTCATGACTGTAAGTGACAGAAAATCCAATTCCAACTGACTTTAAAGGGGAAAGGGAGATTAACTAACTCAAAGATTTGAAAATATTGAAGGTAGAACTGGCTTCTGGTATTATCCAGATTTGGTAGCTCAGAAAGTTCACCAGGAATTAGCATCTCACATCCTTGACTCAGCGCCTTCCCACACCAGCTTCTTTCCCAGGCTGTGCTCCCATTCGAATGCAGCCCAAATTGAGTCACGTGTCCATCCCTAAACACAGCCCCAGCCCAGGGATGCTCTGGTTGACACGGGCCCACAATGACTTCCATCATGAGGGGGTCAGAGCGACTCAATCCACGTGGATGGATGGTGGGGAGGAAGCCATTTCCCTGTTACCTGGTCAAGAGAGGATGCTGGGTGGGCTGGGGATTTAGCTCAGTGGCCTCATGCCTGCCTCACAGGTGCAAGGTCCAGAGTTCAATTCCCTGGTGCCAGAAAAAAAAACAAAGAGAGAGGATGCTGGGGAAAAATGCCCAGGGCCAATACCCACTGGGTTCAGGCTGTTGCTAAGATTCTATAAAACTATATTGGCCTAACACTTGTTAAGAATTTTTTTTGGTTCGGGAGTTAAAAGGTTTTGGAAGTACATGTAAGTGGTGGTTTCACAGCAATATGAATTTACTAAAATTCAATCGATTTTTCAAATTAAAATAGCAAATTTAAGAAGCTCCCATCACATAATGGATAAGGCATTGGCCTCCTAAAATAGCAACTTGAGTTTTATGTGAATTTTACCCTAATTTTTTAAAAAAAGAATGCATTTGGATGCAAATAACAGAAATGTTAAGGCCGTAGCTTTAAAAATAGGCATTTCATTCTCTTATATAGCAGGACGTCTAGAAGTTAACAGGACAGGGCTGGTCAATGAAGCCACCTAGGACTCAGAACGTTTCTTCTTCCTGAACCACCACCCACAGTATGAGCCATTACTCCCCCAGGGTCACAAGATGGCTGCGCAGCCTCCAGCCTCACATCTGTATCCCAGGTGCAAAGATGAGAAAGGGAAAGGGAAAATAGGGCTGGGAGTATAGGAAGGGACTAAACACTTCGTCAAGGAATCAGAGGTTTTCATAGAAAATCCAAACTCAGTTTCACTGACTAGAACTGTGCCAGATGGCAAACCGTGGTGGCCAGGATGCTGGGGAAAGGATATGCTGATTATCTAAATATACTGCATGCTTGAAAAAAAAAATCAGGATCCGCTCCTAAGGAAGAAAATAGAACTGCCAATGTGAAACAGGAGGAAAGGGGCTAAAGGTGTAGGGGAAGTGGAAAGGGTAGGGGAAAGGGAAGAAGGGAAAAGAAAAAAAAAACATGAAAAAATGGAAACAAAGTGTTTGTAAATAGGGAAGGGAGGAGGGGGTGAAGGGAGGGCAGGGACAAAGGGAAAAAAGGAGAACCAAGACCCGGCACGTAGAGGTACGGGATCCCAATGATGAACGTGACTGTACTGTAACCCTAAAATGGACCAAGAGACTCAATGAGAAAAGTGAATAGCTATCAGGTGGACGGCCATGTGCCTGGATCA